TACCTCTCCCCCCCCCCACACTGTGGACCAATGCACCCCTTTTCCACAATGAACATCAACGTCCGCCAAATCTCCTGTTTTTCCTTTGCTGACCTCTAATGCTGGGCATTATTTTCCTCTCACTGACTGCTGTTGCTGAGCATCGAGCACTGAGCATGAGACTGATGCCGATCACAGGCGCCTGCATTTTCTCTTCCATTCATTGAAGGACACAACCATCATAATCAATTGACCAATAGGGTTATATCACCACCTGCAGGAGTAGCACACTAGGCATCCAAAAAAATCACAAGCCAGCCCTAGGGCAGCCCCTGTCTGTAGCAACCCACTGGCCCTTCCGTTTGGGCTGGCTTCTGCCCCTCGAGTGTTTATCAAAGTTCTGGCGCCAGTTCTGGCACTGTTGAAACTACAGGGAATATTGATCGTGGGGTACCCGGACGATTTACTACTTCAGACGGCCTCATGGTCAGCTCTGGAGTTGGATCTTTCGCTGATAATTCAGAGTTTGGATGGATCCTAAATTGGCAGAAGTATTCCGAGGTTCCTTCTTTTCGTCTGGAGTATCTGGGTCTCATCTTGGATTCCAGTGTGGCCAGGGTGTTTGTTCCTCAGAAGAAGCTGCAGAATTTGTGTATACAGTATGTGTGTATTTTGGCCTTTCTTCAGCAGGTTGTTGATTAGTGTCTTGCTTTAAGCATGATTAAGGGTCAGATTTACGCATTGACAGTGCTGTTTCTACGTCCTTTGGCCAGTCTCTCCCTGGTTCCTACTTTCATTCAGGGAGTTAATCCTGTAGTGCCTCATAGGAGGCCTCCCTTGACTCTGTGGGACTTAAATTTGGTTCTATCGGCCTTACAAAAGCCTCTGTTTGAGAACACTCGGGATAGTCCCTTGTTGGCTCTTTCCCCAAAGGTAGCCTTTTGGGTGGCTATTACATAGTTTCGACCAGTTTCTGAGCTGGCTGCTTTGTCATGCAAGCCTCCTTTTTTGGTCCTTCATAGACAACCACCTTCCCCGTCGTTTGACCTTTTGCCAAAGGTGGTATCATTTCATGTGAATGAGGATAATGTCTTAACTTCTTTGTGTCGTAACCCTTCTCTGGATGTTGTTAGGGCTGTTTGTGTGTTATGGTACCTCCTGTTTTACTTAATACTGATTCCTTGTTTGTGGTCACAAATGGTCCCAGGAAAGGGCAAGGCTGCCTCTTCAGTCACCATTTCCAGATGGATTTGACAGATAGTTGTTTAGGCGTACGCCATTAAAGTGGACCTTTACCCCCTTTGACTAAAAATCACATCAGCATATAGCTCTGCATGCTGATATGAAATCATCTTACATTCATTACCAACACAAACATATTTTTATTTTACTTACAATTTCTTTTTTTCCACTTCCTGGTCCATTATGGCACAAATGAGGTAATTGTGCCCAACACTGCATCCTGGGAATGTTACTGTACATTAGCAGAGCATTGCTGGGAAATCTCATCTGTAATCTCATGATATCTCCGGGAAAGGCATTTTCCTCCCATGAAATTATTTGCATGGTCACATGTCCTAGTCACATGTGCCAGAGTTCCAGGAAGTAAAGGGAGATGTAGCAATCTGCCCATTGTTAAAATGGCCACTTTGAGAAGACTGGGGAAGAAAAGAAAAATAGGGTATGCAAAAAAATAAAAGCCGGCAATTATCTATTAGTATGTGTTTGTATGTTGTCATTACTAAACATTTCTAAAGTTGTATTTGTTGTTCTGTTGAAGTTATGGGTAGAGTTCCTTTTAAAGGGTCAGGAACCTCCTTTTCCTGTTACTGCACATTCCACAAGGACGTTGAGTACGCCCTGGGCCTTTCATCTTCAGGCTTCTGTTGCTCAAATTTGCAAGGTTGCTACTTGGTCCTCCATTCACACTTTTACTAAGTTTTACAGGGTAGATCTAGCAGCGTCCGCTATTTTTGGCTATAAGGGTTTGCAAGCAGCGCTTTCAGTGTCCTATGGGCTCCGTTTTTTTTTACGTTTGCTTTGGGATGTCCCTGTTGGTCAAGTTATTATGATGGCTGTGTCCTTCAATGAACAGAAGAGAAAATAGGATTTTTGGACTCACCATAAAATCCTTTTCTCTGCTCTCATTGAAGGACACAACACCCACCCTGTTGTGGGGTTATGGTGTTTGCCATTGTTCTGTGCACTGCTTGCCACTAACTGAGTGGTTTGTTGCAGACGAGGGGGGTTTTGACCACCGGCACGTACCGCCCCTGGGCTGGCTTGTTTTTTTTGTATGCCCAGCTTCCTACTCCTGCAGCTGGCCTTGTTGATCAGGTTATTGTGATGGCTGTGTCCTCTAATGAACACAGAGAAAAGGTTTTTACAGTGAGTACATAAATCCAATTTTTTTTCCGGCGACGTATGCAGACACTGGACATGTTGTTTCTCCCGCTGTACACAGACATTGGGCAATTAGTTCCTTAGCATTGATGCCAGACATTTTATCTTCTGCTGATCACATGTGCCAGGCATTTCTTCTCTCTACTGACCAATGCTGGACATTTTTTTCCTCCTGCTGACCGCTGACACTGACTTTTTTTTTCTCTGTGACACAGGCATTATTTCCTCTAGCTTACCACTGACTCTTATAAGTTTGTCTTTCTACTGACAGCAGACACCAAGCATTTTTATCCTCCCACTGCTGACGGACTCCAGACATTATTTTTCTCTCATTGACGACCATCACCAGACATTATTTTTCTCTCACTGACGACTATCACCAGGCATTATATTTCTCACCACAATGGACAAAGAGTGTTATTTTCCTGCTGCTGACAATGAATGCTGGGCATTCTTTTCCTGCCGCTGACCACGGATATTGGGCAGTATTTTCCTCCCACTGAAAACAGAAGCCAGCCATTATTTTATTCCCCCTGATGATGGACGCCAGCCATTGTTTTCCTCTGCTAAACCTCTCTAGTTAGCAAACACTTATGTACAGTCATCCATTATATCTTTCTGGCTGTTTTCAAGCTGTTGGTCACATACATGACTCTGCACCTCATTTCCATATATCTTCCCTCTTCTTTCCAAAACACTCATCATTTTCTAACCTTCACACCACATATCCCTAGACACCTTTTGCAACTCATATTTCATAATACAGCTTTGAGATGTAACAAATTCACTTAAACATATGCGTTTCCTCAAATGCACTTGACGTAATTTAATAATGCTTCAGACATTTATAGACTAGACTTTAGCCACATCAAAAAAAGGATTTATAAACACAAGCCAAAAGAGAAGTTTAACACAAAATCTTGGCACACAGTTTTTCTCTGGCTCTTGTTTTTCGACTGGACCTTGTCCAGAGCTAGCTGCACAGGAGGCAGCGATTGCAAGGACAACTTAGTCAATATTTACCTCTTTATATAGAGAACTTATAACAGGGTCCTCAATGCGCCCCATGCCCGCCAACCCCCCCC